GGGGGTAACAGTTTCCCAGGTCTTCCCTACTACCTCGGGACAATTGTTTGACTGTTTCACCGAGTAGTCATTAAATAAGTGTTTTATTACCTAAACTACTATATAATAACTAAATTGGAATAAAAACACACAAACAGTCAATAAAGAGTTTGATCAACTGTTTATCCACATACCAGTCTATCAATTAGCTGAACACAGAATGTAAAGATTAAATTGATATTTAATAATTTTAATTAATACTTAAAAAAATGATTGTTTGTGTGTTTTATTCCAATTTAGTTAATTGTAGCAGGTAAATAACGATGTCGTGATCATCAAAACGCTTGAATATCACGATGACGCTTTAAACAGGCAACAGTTCGACTGTCTCATGATCACGCAAAATCATAAAATGAATCGTGAAACAGTTCGAAATGCCTAATTACATTTTATGTAGTAGGTTAGGTAATACTGAATCCTTAGTGAAGTGTTTTCATTAGAATTCCCGCCCCGCGAATTCAAAAACACTATTTTCTTACTTCTTTCTCGCAAATATTCATATATTTATTTTAGGCTAGTAAAATTATTTTAAGTTAAGTTTCATGTATTAAATGTTAAATTGTAATTCCCCACTTTGTGCCTCATTATCTGTAAACCCGTGGGGACCTCCCGGTAATTTTATCCTTTTGAGATTAGAGAACTATCATCATTATATCTACTGCTATTGTAAAGACAAGACGTCCAAACATTTGCTGAAATATTTTTTGGATTACCCACCTAACTCCCCAAACAGACTTAAATGTACATTAGCCCACCTCAAATTCATATGTCTATATGTTTTCATTGTAATTTAATTCGTTTTTATATGTATATTATATTATGTGTTCATATCCTTTTTAGGACAAATAATGGAATTTTGAGCCAATTCATATGTATAAGGCCATATTTTGGAGGCCACCTATTTTGCAAAATTATATATGTTATGTAATAGTCACATACTGGGAGACCAATTGTTATAACATAATTGTTTAATAATTTTTCTCATGAATTGTGTTTTAAGATTACATTGTCTCTGAGTCCTTTTTATTTCAGTTTTATGAATTATTTTATATGTTGTCATTTCATAATAAATGGCATATTTTTGGAACAAACATGTCTTATGTTATTTGGCAAAAGACAAGCTCAATGTTGTCAGACGAGCGAATTCAAGGAATCAAAGCTGAACTTAAATACATATATATATATACTTTTTTTCATATCAGCAATACTTTATTGATATGATTATACCCCCGCATGAAAAGCGGGAGGTTATATAGTAATTGGAATATCCGCCAGTCCATCCGTCTGTACTTCCAACTCTCTGTCCCTTCGTCTGCCGTCTGTTACGCTTTGGGGTACCCATCTCTTATCCGCAAGTCCTCTCATACCACTGAATGAAATTTGACGAAACCTTCAATGAATCTTTATGAACTATTGCAATTATGCACTTCCTTTTTTTTTTGATTCGACACATATTTTGGGTTTCTCATAACAAAACATGGACCTTGCCATTATATTCATATGGTAGGCGGGGGATGGGGGGTCATTTAGTGAGCTCATTGCTCACAGTACCCCTAGTTTGATATCTTATTTTGATCGATATCTAAAAATCAATAAAACATTACCTTTGATAAAACCTAAAACAATAAAATCTATTGAACAAAAGAAGTTTCCTTTAATTACGTTAAAATATCTTAATACCATTCAAACTAGAGGAACTGTGAGCAATGAGCTCACAAAATGATACCCTCCGTCTCCCATATGAATATAATGGCATTGTCCATATTTTGCTGTGGGAAACCCAAAATATGTGACGGATGAAAAAGTAAAATAGGGGGTACACAATGGCAATATGCAATGAAGATTCTATGAAAGTTTCATCAAATTTCATTCAGTGGTATGAGAGGAGTTGCGGATAAGAGATGGGTATCCCAAGCTTAACAGATGGAGGGACCTCTAGATGTAAATATGTGCATGAATAAGGAGTTATTACACCTTATATGTTGATAAGACAATAAAATATAAGACCATATACAACATTTTAACACAAGTTTTATCCATATTTAAATCAGATTCTTTTAAGAGTTGTAACTTGCATGTCAACATAATTATCTTGCATGTACAGTATACATAATTGTCTTGCATGTTTAAACAATTTATCTTGCATAAAGGGGGCAGAAATATGCCACTATAAGAAAGTAAGAATTTTCTATTAATTTACATTTCAGCCATTCGAGTGCTCAGTGCAACAGTCGTTGAACTACGTGTAAATATTTTGATAGATTATTGTACAATCGACATGACTTGGAAACCACCGAAAAGATTTGCAAAATGCATGCTGTCTCATTATCGAGTAATAATATACGAAAACGAAACAGAAGTGATAAAAACGGAAACAACCGCCTTGAAGTATTCTTACTTCGGTTTTAAGTCAACCAGCCAGTATCAGATTGGAGTAACTCCAGCCTTTCTTTGTGAAGGCAATGGCAGCATTACAGTATATGGAAAAGCATGGGAGGAAAATGTATCTGTAATTCCAAGTACGTTTCAAATATGAAATCTAGGAGCTAATTAAAGTTTTTCTTTTTATACCCCCGCTTGAAAAGCTGGAGGGTATATAGTAATCGGTATGTACGTCCGTCTATTACGTTTTGGGGTACACATCTCTTATCCACAACTCCTCTCATACAACTGAATGGTATTTAATGAAACTTACACAGAATATCTATTACACATTGTCATTGTACAAATCCTATTTAACTTTTCGATCCGACAAATATTTTGAGTTTCCCATAGCAAAACATGGACATTGCCATAATATTCATATGAGAGGCGGGGGTATCATTTAGTGAGCTCATCAAGAAAATTATAACGAAAATCTCGTGCGACTGAGGCAAGAATTGTCGATAAGCTGGATACATTATCCTGCTGAATACAATATACGAGATCGGTTATTGTAGATTTTACAGGACATGTTAAGAAGAATTTAGCAGTCCTAAAAATATTTTGCTTAAACGTTCGGTCGTGTACAATGCTGATAAAATTATTAGTTCTCTTGTGTTATAATTTTTGGCGTCACGCAAAAAAAAGCTTCAAAAGCTCCAACTCAATGTTATTAGTAAGATTTGGACCTTTTTTGGCACTTAGATATTTTCCACTAGACTGATGTTTCTGATAATGTATTCCACAATTCTTTCTGATAATCGGTACTGTGGAATCAGCATTGTTCGTTGGAGACCAATATTCGTGGATTTCCTGGGTGCCCTTAACCACAAATTTATATCCCCATGAAAATTTATTTTCTAAACATATTCAGAGTAGAGCAGAGCAGAGTTCCCAAATGAGTAAAGAAGAATCATTTACAACTTCTTGACAATAAATTATTTCTCAACTGTATGTTTAGGTCACCTGAGAAAACTCGGTTGACCTGTTGCTATCTGTTTTCATCCGTCGTTCCGCGTTAACATTTGAAAATTATAAGCTTCTCTGCAACCGCTCAACCAATTTTGGCATAAAACATCTATGAGTGAATGGGAAAAATTATATAAGAATTTCATGGTTCCTGTCCCCCTTGAGGGGTGGGGTCAAAACAATTAAAATAAATGCAATCTTTAAAAAAAATTCTTCTTTACTATACTGGACATCAAGAAGTCACACTGTTGGCATGATTGTAAACAGCATTGAGTTTTCTACTCAAATTCTAGAAATTCATGGCCCCAGGATCCTTGTGCTAGGGCGGGGCTAAATAAATTATTGAAAATGCATTATTTCTTGGAAAATCTTCTTCTCTGCGCGTAGGCAATAAACTAACCAAGTACACAGTTATATTGAATAAGGCTGCCTCTTCCAAAATTGTGAATTTCCTGGTCCCAGTGTCAGGGGTTTTAGTGTAAGTATATAGTTATGTTGAATAAGGCTGTCTCTTCCAAAATTGTTGATTTCATGGCCCCTGGGTAGGGGGCTCTGGTGTTAGGGCAGGATTCTATTGATCATATAGTGAAAATGCATAAATTCTTTAATAATAAAATCTTCTTCTCTGCTTCTATGTGGTTAACAAACTAACAATTTAAGTACACATTTATTATGAGCAAGAACGTCTCTTCCAAAATTATGAATTTGATGGCCCCTGGGTCTGGAGTTCTGGTGTAAGGGTGGGGCTCTATTGATTACATAGGGAAAATACTTTAATTCTTTAAAAATCTTCTATGCTCATGGGTATTAAACAAACTAACTAGATACTTAGTTATAATGAGCAAGAATGCCTCTTCCAAAATTGTGAATTATATGGGCCCTCGGTTTGGGTTTCTGGTGTAAAGGGGCACTATTGATTATACAGTAAAATTCGTTTAGTGCGAACACGGATATTGCAAATTTACGGATATAGCGAATATATCTTGGATCCCCAGCTATACGAATTTAACGGATTTCTTATACGGATATATCGAAATGCGGATATAGTATAAATATGATATTGTTATAATATAATAACTAAAATGTAAAAAAGGAAGGATATGTCAATCAAAAGGGGCCAGAGATTTCTAGTTTCAATAATTCCCAGTAAAAATAAGTTTCTGAACACATTTTAATTATATTTCCGTGTGAAATCTATAGCAACATATAACATACAGAATATATAATTTTTTTTTCAAATCTGCGTTCAGGCTGCCGCTCCTTTAAATACGGTTGTCTCTTTCCCTTATAAATGAAATAAATGTCGTATATTAGAACACAAACGTTTGACTGTATTCAATGTTTCTATGTTGGTGTATCAATGATTATCTATTACTTTTTTTGTCGCAGATATTTCGAACTCATACCTTGAGGCGTCTGAAAACGAAAAGATTACAGTTGCATGTCCATTCCTTAGTAGATCCAACTATCACATTTCTAAAGTAATACAATGGGAGCACAGATTGGGAATAAATAAAATACAGATAAGAAAGTTTACTTCAAGAGAAATTAATCTTTTTTATCTGTCATACATGGATATGGGAGAATACTACAAATCGTGCGGGAGTATATCTGGAACGGTTGTGTCTGAAAGGAGCATTGTTTTTGTAGCTGTAAAAGGTAAGATATTTTTGCTTTCCATGATTTAATTTAAAATAATCCTTATACGATAAAGTTGGTCCTGATATAAAGACGGATTTGCTTCCGACTAGTCATTATCTTTTGAACCACAAGAAAAGAAATTAGATATATTTGCAAATAATGACTTGGTCTTGAAAGTAAACATATGTAGATAGTCAAGTACAAAATCAGAAATTCCGACAATTAGTATTTTTTTTTTCAATTAAAAAATAATTATTCATACTAAATATTAACATAAGAATTCCGTAAACTGTCTTTTTTAAAGTCATTTAATCGACTATAATTCCGGAGCGGAAGTGATGTCATCAAAGCGGAAAAAGGATAAGTTCAAGAGATGTAACATAAATATTGAAAAAAAATTAAGCCCTTCAAGAGAAATGACTTGCACAAATTCGATAAGAAAAAAGGAATTAAAATAACTGTAGAACAAAGAAGCTTAACATGTATATTAATTCTTCTCAAGAAATAATGGCAAGGTCAACCAAACTATTCAGAAAGAAAAACCGGGTTCAAGTTTAATCAAATTTATGGTCATTGTCTCTTTTAAGAAACGTAGTTTAGAATTAAAGTAAATTGTAACAGAAAAGTCGAAACTTTAGTGAAAGCTATTATAACGTGTAGATTTTTCAGTTTTATTCAAGTCATGTCTTGGGAAGGGGTCGGTGAGGCTACAATAGGTAATCATTTTTTTTTAATAGAACATTCAAGAATATTTTTTTTTTCACTTTTTTCTCAAAATTTTCTCAAGAACTACCAGGGCAGAAGAGATTATACATGTCAAAGCTTCAGTTCATAAAATACGTTTAATCTTGTAGACGCTGATACGAAAAAGACGCTAACATTTCTCAAGAGTGTCAAACAGGTTTAAAAAACTTTTTAACGTTACCCTACACCGGCGAGTGATGACCTCTTCACTACATCTTCATCGTCCACGTTGGCCCACAGATCGGAACAAATTTAGGGCCACAACAGTATCTTTTATTAATTTGTTATTACAAATTAGACATTTTTTTGTAATAGCAAATTAGTAATTTCTTAAACCTAGTATTTTATACGTCAAAGTTATTGGTCAATAATAAGTTATAAAAGCTATACTAAGAGATTTGTTGATACGTGTAATTAGATAATAAAAAATTCTAATTTGTACCATGAACAGATGCGCATACACATGGGCGTCGCTCTGATTGGCTGACAATAAAAATCTTGATATCTTTCTTGTTTACTGACAGCATCCTTTGATATTTAAGATACAAGTATATACCATAAGGTTCTAAATTCCTGAAAGCACGTGCATGCTGGAATTTGATTGGCTGAAACTTTAAATGGGTATAACGTCCATCGTTCTCAACAAAATAACTAAAAGATGAAATTTTGAATATAGATAGATATAATAGGTTCCTACAATACGCTACTATCAAAATAGAATGCAAGGACGTACTTTCACGTGTGTTGAAATCTGATTGCCTAAACTAATTTTACGTACCGGCCAAATTCTTATTTGATAGGTCTTGTAATTGTTAACATTATTCGTTCAATACATTTAATAAATATTTTCAGACGGTATTCGGCAATAACGGTGGAATACTTAAATAACAGTAAAATACAAAAGCCCTTAATTTAAAAAAAAAAACCATGATACATAGATACTCCGTTGAAAAGAGATTGATTGATTGATTGTATATTGTTTAACGTCCCTCTCGAGAATTTTTCACTCATATGGAGACGTCACCGTATGCCGGTGAAGGGCTTCAAATTTTGACCTTTACTCGGCACTCAGGGCTATTGAGCAGTGAGGGATATTTATCGTGCCAACGCCTGCCGCTGACACGGGGCCTCGGTTTTTAAGGTCTCATCCGAAGGACCCGCAACTTTCACTTCAAAGTGCCGATCGCATGGCGAAGGAACAGTTGCTACCCATTTTATCGACTGGGTCAGTCGCGGCCGAGATACGAACTCACGACCTCCCGATCACGGAGCGAGCGCTCTACCGACTGAGCTACCATGAACGGTCCGTTGAAAAGGGAATATCTAGATCTAATAATGATAAAAAGAGCAAATACAACATGTTCCTAAACTTCGTTCAACCATTAAATGCAGAACAAAAAGACCCCAAACCCGGTCCAAATTGCTGTCATCCTATCGTGTTCAAAATAAACTTATCTAAATTTAACAAAAAACCCTTTGATCTTTTTAACTCACCTGAGCCGAAGGCGAAATTTGTCCGTTGTCTGTCGTTGTTGTTGTCGTCGTTGTAAACTTTTCACCTTCTCAAGAACCACAGAGCCAATTTTAACCAAACTTACCACAAGGTATTCTTGGGTCAAGGGGATTTAAGTTTGTACATGTACAAATGAAGGGCTATGCCCTACTTCGAATGTAGATATTTACGAAATAGTGAAAAAAATAAACGGCATCATTGAAAAATCTTCTCAAGATCCATTGGGACAGGAAAGCTGAAACTCATGTAAAATAATATTGCCAGGCAGTGTAGATTCAAGTTTGTTCAAATCATGACTCCTAGGTGTATAGTAGTGCCACAATGAACGAAATTTTTACATAAAAATATATAGGAAGAATTTTCAAAAATCTTCTCAAGAGCAGCAAAGCAATGATTGGTCATATTTTTATGGAAGCATCCTTAGGTGGTGTAGATTCAATTTTGTTTAAATCAATACCCCCGGGGTAGGGCAGGGTCTCAATGAACGATTCAAAGTTAACATAGGAGTTATAGAAAAAAATCTTTAAAAATTCTTCTTCTTAAGAACAGCAAAGCTATGATTGGACATAGTTATATGGAAGCATCTACAGGTGGTGTAGATTCAATTTTTTTTTTCAAATCATGACCCCCAGGTAGGGTTGGGCCAGAATCATGCACGATCAAAGTTTTACATAGGAGTATATAGCAAAAATCTAAAAAAAAAATTCTCAAGAACAGCAAAGCTTTGATTGATCATTTACAGAGGAGTATATAGGAAAAATATTTTAAAAATCTTCTTCTCAAGAACAGCAAACCTATGATCATATTTATATGGAAACATCCTCATGTGGTGTAAATACAAGTTTGTTCAAATCATGACACCTCGGGGTAGGATGGGACCACAATAGCTGCAGAACTGTAGCTCTCTGCTTGAGAAAATTTGGATAGATAAAGCAGAGAGCTACAGATCCAAGCGATGTAAAAACCTTCGACTTACGCCGACGATTTTTTGTCGCTACTTTAGGTATTTATTTCTATTTATTTTGTGTATTTTAATCTTTCTCATGCTTTTAGAATGGTATCCTATAATAGTTCATGTATTTTAACTCTTATATTTGACCCTTGTTTACTTTTTAACGGTCCGAAACAGTCCTGTATATAGTTTTGTAATGTCGGTTTAAAAGAGTTCCATTTTGACGTCCGTAACCACAAACAGCCATTTGTTAGCGTCGAGAGGAAAGTAAATGATCAGGCATTAGAAGTTGCATGTATGATAATTATTAAATACCATTTAAAATTATTTCCAAAGCTTTGGAAAGTATAAAATACACGAAAAAATACCCATAGTGAGCGACGAAAAATCGTCGGCGTAAATCGAAGGTTTTTACAACGCTTGGATCTGTAGCTCTCTGCTTTATCTATCCAAATTTTCTCAAGCAGAGAGCTACAGTTCTGCAGCTAGGACCACAATGGACGATTAAAGTCCAAAGTCCGATCAAAGTTTAATACATGAAAAATCTTTAAAAATCTTCTTCGCAAGAAACAAAGCCATGGTTGGCCAAAGTTATATGGAAGCACCCTCGATCAGGTGATGTAGATTCAAGTTTGTTCCCTCTCCCTTTTAGGTATACATGTAGGTTGGGATCACAAGCGTTTAAGCTTTGGAATGCTAAACTGATTTTTGCTTTTTTTAGCCAGTGCTCAGGTGAGCGATGTAGCCCTTGGGCCTCTTGTTTTCAATTCTACGTAAAAGATGCAATTTCAACTGAAACAATCTTATCCCCATAATCCAAATTATGTTTCATAATCATAATATAAGATATAAAATATTTCTTTAAGAAATTATTAATAGGTCAAATTTATTGAAAATTATTCGGTTTATCAGACATGTTTTAAACAAATAACACAGTTTGTATTGTTTAATGATTTTAAACATGAAAAAAAAAATCATAAAAGTTACCTTCATTTACACCTTTTTACATTCAGGACCACCGATAATCGCTTCGCTTACAGAGATAGAAAGATTTAGTCGTAAACTTTCCTTGAATGTGATAAGTTTACCGTCGCCAGACAGCAATGTTAGCATCAAGAACAGTAAAGGGACTGAATTATCCAGGTCATCTGCAAGAATAAGGCCGGGATTGGTGAATTACACAGCGTACGGAGTCAATGTTCAAATAAAGGGATACAAAATGGATATTGTGATCGAGCATGCAGAAATTGAATGGTTTGGAGAAATCATTGTAATTGTTTCAAACAAGCTGGGTGCTGGGAAATACAGATTAATGGTTAAAAAAAAGTCATGGTTAGTATGACAGTTATTTAATAGTTCAACTGCGCATGCCTTTTATTTATTTCTTTCAATATGCACATCAAACATTTAAATGTTATTCTTTGATTTTCAAGAGAGCTTTTTTGATGAAAGTGAAGTACTAACGGTAGGCACTGTGAGTGGTTTGATCATCGTCTCCGTTGCCATCATTCTCATTTGTTTTATCAAGAAAAGTAAGTGTTCTATACAACATATATGTCTGAATGTATCCAAAATAAATTTAGAACTAGACTACTGTGAGCACTGAGCACAATAAATTACACCCCTTCCCCCGCCTTCCACATGATTAAAATTGCAAACTCCATGTTTTGCTCTGGGAGACAAGACATAGTTTCCTAATAAACTAGAAATTGATCATAAAGATTTTTTTTGTTTAACGTTCCTCTTGGACCGTGTAGAGCAGCTGCAAATTTTGTCCTATACTTGGCACTTCTGACCATTGAGCAGTAAAAAATCTTTTTAGTGCCAGCACCTACTGTGACACAGGACCTCGGTTTAAACGGTCTCATCCGACGGACCTGTCTCCGCGTCCCACAGTGGGATTCGAACCCTCGACCTAAGGAATATCAACTCCTTACTTCACGACTCTAGAGCAGACGCTATAATCACCGCGCCATCCGGGAGGCTGATCATAAAGTTAAAGTATCTTTAACTAACCTAGAATTATTGAAATTCGAATTCATTGCTCATGCAAGAATTTTTATGTGTAGTTCTATTTGTAGGAACAAAGCACAGTTTCTGTTTGCCAAAAGAAAAGTGAGTATCACCTCTATATTACTTACACTGATTTGTCTAATATACTAGTATGTCAATTTAATGACCATATACTTCAGTTTTTTTTGCATGTCTAAATTCTTTAAAAAGAACTATTTTGTTTCATGGAAGACAACAACACATACCTATCCAGTTAGCAGATCAATTGTATTCCAGACATCGTTCTCTCAATCAGAATATTGTGCAACTCGGTAAGTAAATTGTCTGTAAAAATTCTAAATTGAGTATGAAAATCATTATAGAACATTACAATGTATGTAAACTATGTATATTCTCATTTAAAAGTGGAAAGTCATGGAGCTCATCAAAGAGGATCCAACCCCTAACCAGTTATGCTGTGCCTTACAGAACAACAAATTTGGGGATAAACGTAATAAAAGTGATAAAGCACATCTTTAGAGAGTTTGCAGTACAGTAGATGACAAACATTCAATACTTAAATTTGCTGTTATTTTTTTACTAAGTCAAATATGAAATTGATTTGAATGTTATATATTTGTGTATATTCAAATGGAAACGGAGAAACTCGCACTGAAGTGACGTCAAAATGGCTACAGAGACGTTGATGAAAGTGCAGCTTTACAGGACAGCGAGACATTCAAATATTGAAT